CGAGCCACTGGCGCCCGGCCAAAAATTAATTTTAATATGGAGAACTGCTCTCTGAGGCCCTTAAGCAAAAAATTTACTAAATAGGTTAAGCCAAGACACCTTGGCCTCCCAAAGTTTTGGGATTATAAGCATGAGCCACTGCGCCCGGACTCATTTTAAAATTTTTTGTAGTGTTGGGGTCTCTCTCATTATGTTGCCCAAGCTGTAAAATTGTTTAATCATATATAAATCTTTATCGTTTATGGTGTAATTCTTTTTGCCATCTCTTAAATCATTTCTTAGGTTTTACTTATTTCAAATTCTTTAATGCTGAGTTATTATAAAGAAAACCTCAAAAGGGAGTATGTGGCTACATTTCTTCAAATCTCTCTTCATTTGTGACTGTAACTTGGTGTTGGCCAGAAAATTAGTTTGGTAATTATTGGCATGTGGATTTTTTCCTTCATAGGTTATGGAATATATGGAGAAAGAGAGAGATAGAGATTGAGAGATAAATGACATCAAACTTAGAGAAAAGTTGCAAGGATAGTATGAAGAGTCCTCAAAGACGCTTTACCTAGAGTCACCAACTAATAACAGTTTTTGCTTTTTATTCATCACCATATCATATGTGTGTGCAACATGTGTATTTTTTTTAATGAATTACCTGAGAGTAGGTTGCATACATCATGTCTCTATACCCCTTAATACTTCAGTATTTCCTAAAAACAAGGATTTTCTCCAATATAACCATGGTACAGTTACCAGATTTTAAAAATTTAACTTACCCAGGCGCGGAGGCTCATGCCTATAATCCTAGCACTTTGGGAGGCTGAGGTGGTGGATCACCTGAGGTCAGGAGTTCGAGACCAGCCTGACCAACATGGTAAAAGCCCGTCTCTACTAAAAACAAAACAAAACAAAACAAAATTAGCTGGGCATGGTGGTATGTACCTGTTATCCCAGCTACTTGGGAGGCTGAGGCAGGAGAATTCCTTGAACCCAGGAGGCAGAGGTTGCAGTGTGTCGAGATTGCACCACTGCATTCCAGCCTGGGTGACAAGAGCAAAACTCCATCTCAAAAAAAAAAGAAAGAAAGAAAGAAAGAAAATTAACTTAATGCAATACTTATTTCTAATCTATAGTCCTTATTCCAATTTGACAAGAATACCAATAGTGTTGGCATTCTTGATACTTTTCCCTCTGGTACTGTACCCAGTCTAGAGTTCTCTGCTGCATTTAGTTGGCAGGTCTCATTTACTTTCCTTTAGTCCAGAAAAATTTCTCAGACTTTGTCTTTCATGTTTGCCAATTTGGATTTGCCTGATGTATCCTTATGCTTAGATTATGGCTGTGTACTTCAGGTTGGAGCAATGCGTAAGTAATATGTAGATTTAGCATCCCTTGGTGGTTCTAGCCTGAGCCAGTCTTTACTAGGATGGCTGTAAAATGGTGATTTTTTTTTTTTTTTTTTCCTGAGATGGAATTTCGTTCTTGTCGCCCAGGCTGGAGTGCAGTGGTGCGATCTCGGCTCATTGCATCCTCCGCCTCTCAGGTTTAAATGATTCTCATGCTTCAGCCTCCCAAGTAGCTGGGATTACAGAAGCTCACCACCACACCCAGCTAATTTTTGTATTTTTAGTAGAGACGGGGTTTCACCGTGTTAGCCATTATGGTCTCGAACTCCTAACCTCAGGTGATCCATCTGCTGCGGCCTCCCAAAGTGCTGGGATTACAGGCGTGAGCCACTGTGCCCAGCCTAACATGGTGGTTTTAACCTCCAGCATGTTCCTCCATACATGCCAGCCCACATTTGACTATAAAGAAGAGCCCTCTCTTCTCGTTTGTTTATTGGTATCTTTTTATAATCAGTTTGGACTCATGGACTCCTATGTTATTAAATGGGTTTTAGTCCTTGACTCTTTATTTCTTTTGATGCTGAAATCAACCCAGATCGGGCCACCTCTGAGCTGGCTCCTGTGTCCTTTGATGCCCCCCACCCCTTTCCCCCAACAATTTTTGGGATCACTTTTTTTCTTTCTGGCACACTCGATGTTCCAAGCTTACCTTGTTCCTTCTCTGCCCCAGCCCTGAAATCACTCATTTTCCCAAAGAACCCTGGTTTCTTTTTAGGGGGAATGGTAATTAGAAATTAAGATCTGGAGGCCGGGCACGGTGGCTCAAGCCTGTAATCCCAGCACTTTGGGAGGCCGAGACGGGCGGATCACGAGGTCAGGAGATCGAGACCATCCTGGCTAACACGGTGAAACCCCGTCTCTACTAAAAAATACAAAAAAACTAGCCGGGCGAGGTGGTGGGCGCCTGTAGTCCCAGCTACTCAGGAGGCTGAGGCAGGAGAATGGCGTGAACCCAGGAGGCGGAGCTTGCAGTGAGCCGAGATCCGGCCACTGCACTCCAGCCTGGGTGACAGAGCAAGACTCTGTCTCAAAAAAAAAAAAAAAAGAAATTAAGATCTGGGCACTAAGTGTGCTCATTGCTACTAGGGTGCTCATTGCTTTTGGGCTCATTCAGTGGACAGAGCTAGGAGAAACAAATTATATGTTATGCTGGTAACTTATTTATTTATTTTTCTTTTGGAGACAAGGTCTCACTCTGTCACCCAGGCTGGAGTGCAGTGGCATGATCAGGGCTTACTACAGCCTGGACCTCCTGGACTCAAGTGATCCTCCCACGTCAGACTCCCAAGTAGCTGGGACTACAGGGACACACCACCACGCCTGGCTAGTTTTTTCATTTTTTGTAGGAGAGGGTGTGTCTCACTATGTTGCCAGGGAATGTCTTGAACTTCTGCACTTGAGTGATCCTCTCGCTTCTGCCTCTCAAAGTGCTGGGATTACAGATGTGAGCCACCTTGCCCAGCCCACTGGTAACTTCTTATTTTGATCTTGCTCAATAGGGCTTTACCTTGCCTTCCTGGATTCTGTTTATGCCTCCTTTCTTCCAAAGAGCTCTGGCTCCCAACAATATTTACTCATTTTACTCAATCCTATAGTATATATAAAATAGCAGTTTCAGAATGACTACCTTCATATCTCTATGGAAAACAAATTAATACAAATAGTTCAAGGGACCTTTACTCCCCGCAGGCTGAGGGTCTACAGTTAGCTTGTACCCCTCCCCTTTTCGTGTGGATATATTATTCTATACGAAACACAGCTGGGTTTATTTTTTCTATTTGCATGTTGGTTTTTTCTTTCTCATTTCTATTGATTTAATTTAATTTTTGAATATATAGAACATTAGCATTCTTCTAAAAGTCAAAATTAGGCCAGGTGTGGTGGTTCATGCCTATAATCCCAGTACTTTGGGAGGCCGAGGCGGGTGGATCACAAGGTCAAGGAGTTCTAGACCAGCCTGGCCGAGATGGTGAAACCCCGTCTCTACTAAAACTACAAAAATTAGCCAGGTGCGGTGGCAGGCGCCTGTAATCCTGGCTACTGGCGAGGCTGAGGCAGGATAATCGCTTGAACCCGGGCGGTAGAGGTTGCAGTGAGCCAAGATCGCACCACTGCACTCCAGCCTGGGTGACAGAGTGAGACTCTGTTTCAAAAAAAAAAAAAAAAAAAAAGTCAACATTATACAAAACCAGTATACTCAAAGGAGTGTCACTTCCTCCCCATCCCTTCCATTCCGTTCCTCCACCCCCTACCCCTTGTAGTAATTAATTTTATTTCTGGTTTAACCTTCCTGTGTTTTTATTTTTTCAAAATTAAGCAGCTTTCAAGAGAATAAGAAGACAGGCCACACACTGGGAGAAAATATTTGCAATAGACACATCTGATAAAGGACAGTTATCCAAAATATACAAAGGACTCTTTTCGTTTCTTTTTAATACAGGTTCTCACTATGTTGCCCAGGCTGGAGTGCGGTGGCTATTCACAGGTATGAGTGCACTACTGATCAGCACAGGATTTTTGATCTGCTCTTTCTTTCTTTCTTTTTTTTTTTTTGAGGTGGAGTCTCACTCTGTCACCAGGCTGGAGTGCAGCAGCACGATCTCAGCTACTGCAACCCCTGCCTCCCAGGTTCAAGCGATTCTCCTGCCTCAGCCTCCCGAATAGCTGGGACTACAAGCGCATGCCACCATGCCCAGCTAATTTTTGTATTTTTTTAGAGACGGGGTTTCACCATGTTGGCAAGGATGGTCTTGATCTCTTGACCTCGTGATCGCCCACCTCAGCCTCTAAAAGTACTGGAATTACAGGCATGAGCCACCGCGCCCGACCAATCTGCTCTATTTCTGACCTGGGCTGATTCACCCTTCCTTAGGCAACCTGGTGGTCACCCACTCCTGGGAAGTTACCACACTGATACCGAACTTAGTGCAGACACCGGATTGGCATAGTGCACTACTGCCCAGAACTCCTGAGCTGAAGTGGTCCTCCTGCCTTAGCCTTCTGAGTAGCTGGGACTATAGGTCTGGCATAAAACAAACTCTTAAAATTTAAAAATAAGAAAACAACCCAATCTAAAAGTGGGCCCCAAACCTTGACACCTTATTAAAGAACATATACAGATACAAAATAAGCATATGAAATGATGTTTCACCCTATGTACTATCAGGGAAATGTAAACTAAAACAACAATGAGATACCATTACATACTCATTAGAATGGCCAAAACCCAAAACTGACACCACAAAATGCCGAGGAGGATGTGCAGCAACAGGAATGATCATTCATTGCTGGTGGGAATGCAAATGGTACAGCCACTTTAGAAGATAGTTTGGTGATTTCTTGCAAAACTAAAAATACTCACCCCATACTTATGATCCAGCAATTGTGTTCCTTGGCTTTTACCCAATGAGTTGAAGACCTTATGTCCACCCAAATGCATATGCATGTTTATAGCAGACCTTATTCATAATTCCCAAACCCGGAAGCAACCAAGATGTCATTCAATTAATGAATGGATAAATTAGCTAGTACATCCAAACAATGGAATATTGTTTAGTGTTAAAAAGAAATGGGCTATCAAATCATGAAAAGATATGGAGGAAACTTAAACCCATATTGCTAAGAGAAAGAAGCCAATCTGAAAAGGCTATATATTGTATGATTCCAACTATATGATGTTCTAGGACAGGTAGAACTATGGAACCAGTAAACAGATCAGTGGTTGCCAGGAGTCTGGGGGGAAGGAGGGATGAATAGGCACAGCACAGATAATTTTTAGGGCAATGAAACTATCCTCTATAACACTGTATGATGGATAAATGTCATTAAACATTTGTCAAAACCCATAGAATGTACAACGCCAAGAGTGAAGCCTAATGTAAACTATGGACTTCAGTTCATAATAAAGTATCAATATTGGTTCATCACTTGTTTAAAAAAATAACCAAACGAACAGTATTTTGGTTACACTTTTATCAATATTATTCATACTAAGTAATCATCTCAAATATCTGTGGGTAGCGCACATGCAAGGGTAATTTGATTTTCCCTTTGAGACCATAATTTGCTCTTTGTGAATCTTCTTAACTCTGCTCAGTCTTCTAGTTTCTCCTTTCCTCCTTCCCTCCTTCCCTCCTTCCTTCCTTCCTTCCTTCCTTCCTTTCCAGGGTCTCAAACCTGTTGCCCAGGCTGGAGTAAAGTGGTGCGATCACAGCTCACTGCAGCCTCGACTTCCCAAATTCAGGTGATTCTCCCACCTCAGCTTCCCAAGTAGCTGGGACTATAGGCACATGCCACCACGCCCAGCTAATATTTTGTATTTTTAGTAGAGACAGGGTTTCACCATGTTGCCCAGGTTGGTCTTGCACTCCTGGGCTCAAGTGATCCACCCACCTTGGCCTCCCCAAGTGTGGATGAAAAACAGGTGTGAGCCATAGTGCCCAGCCCTTCTAGTTTCTTGTCTAAATTAAATCGACTTGTTTTAACAGCATTTAGCCAGCATTCCCATCATGTATCCAAGAGTAGTTGTATGGTCAATTGTGATATAGTTTTTTCCAAGATATTTCATCTTTGGGCACATCCAGAATATTGCATATGATCTTTTTAGTTTTTCAAAGATGCCATTATTCTCAGCACAATTAGGCTGTGTCTTCTAATAACTAGTTCAACTATGTGCCACACAGGGGACATATCATCAAAAAAATGCTTCTAGATTTTTGGCCAAAATCCTGGCTTGTTCATCTTTATTATCTTTACTAACCATGTCATTGCTGTTATCAGACTTGCCCTTGATAATCTTTTAAATCAAAGACTAAAATTGTAAGTAGGTTTTTTCCTTAGTGCAAAACTAGGGAAAACTAGTTTTTCCTTAAGTCAAAACTAGAATGTAGCTAGTTAAATACACATGCGTGTTTCTCTAGATTTACATATATGCAAATTTAAAGAGAAATAGGTATTAATATTGAAAAATGTTCCTTAGCCACATTGCACAAACCACGTTAATTTCTTTTCTTTTCTTTCTTTCTTTTCTTTTCTCTCTCTCTCTCTCTCCCCCCCCCCCCACTTTCTTCTTCTTGTAAGATGTGTAGGACAGAGCCGGCACGGTGGCTCAGGCCTGTAATCCCAGCACTTTGGGAAGCTGAGGTGGGCAGATTGCTTGAGGCCAGGAGTTCAAGACTGGCCTGGCCAACATGGTGAAACCCCGCCTCTACTAAAAATACAAAAGTTAGCTGGGTGTGGTGGTGCACGCCTGTAGTCCCAGCTACTGAGGGAGACTGAGGCACAAGAAGCACTTGAGCCTGGGAGGTGGAGGTTGCAGTAAGCTGAGCTCATGCCACTGCACTCCAGCCTGGTGACAGAGGAAGACTGTCTCAGAAAAAAAAAAAAAAAAAAAGATGTGCAGAATTGCTGAAGAGCTTCTTCGGCCCTGAACCGTGTTGTTTGCAGAGCTGATGTTTGGGGTTATAGGCTTTTCCATACCAGTAACGAACACTGGATCCTGACAGAGGACCCCAGGTGCTCCTTTATGGAGACATTTTTGGCTATGTTTGTAATACTTGGGGTCCTCTGAAGCTTGGGTGGCACTGGGAGGGAACAGGGTAGAGAGTACAAGGATGAAAGCAAACCTTCTGTGACTATATCTTTTTATAAAGTTTTGACTTTGGGACTCTGTAAATGATTTGCATAATTAAAAAAGAAAATATAAAAGACCAGCCTAAAACCATGGCAATAATATAGATTTTACTGAATGATTGATGAGGAGATGATGGGGAGGGCCATAATACACACAATAGCACAAAACAAAAGCCCTGAATTAGACATTCTTTTCTGGTTTTTCCAATCTCTTAATCCTCAATCCTCATAGTCTCTGAAAATCCCTTCTATTGTCCCAGCTAGAATCTTACGCTGAGCAAAACAAAACAAAACAAAACAAAACAAAACAAACCCTGAAGTTAGCACAACAGCAGAAATCAACTGCCGCCAGAGCAGGCTTCCAGAGGGCTTTACACTGCATCTTCCATTAGAAAATACTGCAAGGATAGAGCTTCAAGGTGTTCAGCTTTCTCAATATCTGGCTTATTTTCTTCTCAATCCCTGGGACTAACATTGTCAAACAATTTGAACTTCCTCCCTAAAGCTAGTTGGAGTGTTTGTTCCTGCCCAAAGCAGGATTACCTGCTAGGTTTCCTGGGAGTCAAGGGTTGTGGCTCATTAAAGATGGCTTTGCATTAGTGAGTCTCAGATCACTCAAAGGGGAGGTCTTGGTCCTAAACAAATGGAAATACTCTCTTAGAGGATCCTGCCAACTCTGAAAAGGCCTTTACATGCTTCTTGGTGTGGAAAACTGGCCAGTTAATTGCACATAGTGCAGGCACAGCACGTTTGCCAGGTTTGACTTTGGACATAATGAGTAGGAAGCACCAGTGGGATACCCAGGAACTCTTCATGTCCAGGAAGCAGCTGGAGCCTGAACTTTGCAGGACAGGTTCAGGCTGAAGACACAAATTTAGAAATCATTGTGTATACAGGAGAGGAGGCTATGATGGAAACAGAAAGAATATAGGAAAGGGTAATGCCTCTGAGGCAGGAAGTGGTCAGTGGTGTCAAGTGCTGCAGGAAGATTGATTAATAACAACACAGTGTTCACTGGACAAGTAAGATCCCTGAAGAGGAGATGGTACGGGTGATGGGATCAAGTGTCTTGAAAGGAAAGTGGGCACATTCTCCAAGATTTGACACTGGCAGGAGGATGCAAGTGGGAAAATAAAAACATCAGCAACACATCACAACACAACAAACCATAACCTGGGCAGGGCCTGAGAGCAGCGAGAGAGAAAGGGTAGGAAGAAGCCAGAGGAGTTTCAGCGCCTGCAGTCCTTCCTCTGCACCGTAGCGTAGCCCCTACCACGACCCCACGGCCTCAGTAAAGGTTTGCTGCACACCTCAACTTCTTATCAGTGATGCTTTGGAGAATGAAGGACTCCGAGGCAGTGTTCAGGGCAGAGTGAAGGGGGATGGACAATTTGAGGAGCCCAGGAGTGGAGATGGAGAATTCAACCCAAGTAGGAAATTCAGCAAAGGTAACCAGGGGAAAGATAAGTCCGCTAGGAGTCCGCTAAGTATCCTTGGAGTTAGTAGAAAATCCCAGGATTCCCAATATATTTGGGATGGGGTTTCAAATATATTTTGACTATTGTTTGAGTATTAAAGAAAAGGGCAGGGCCAGGCTTGGTGGCTGACGCCTGTAATCTCAGCACTTCGGGAGGCCGAGGTGCGTGGATCACGAGGTTCAGGAGCTGGAGGCCAGCCTGGCCAACATGGTGAAACTCCGTCTCTACTAAAAATACAAAAATTAGCCGGGTGAGGTGGTGGGCGCCTGTACTACCCGGGAGGCTGAAGCAGGAGAGAATCGCTTGAACCCAGGAGGCAGAGGTTGCAGTGAGCCGAGATCGCGCCACTGCACTCTAGGGTAGGAAGGCCCAGGGTAGGAAGCTGAGCTGTTTCGAAATCTGTAGCCACCTTTTCTCAATGACAATGAAGTAATCTTCCAAGATGTTGAAAAACCTGGTGCGGAAAGTTTGGAGTAGCAGTTTGGGAATCCCCTGTAATAATCCGCTTTCCCTTGTGAACCTCAGGCACTGTCTTAAAATTTTTTGTATCCTCAATGCACTGTAGGAGCTCAACAAATGATAGAATAGATGAATAAATAGAGGAGAATGAGGAGACGGATCTGAACAGGCTGCGAAGGAGGTGCTATTCCAAAGCCCAGCCCAGAGGCAGTGACCTCGGACCCAAGCCAAAAAAACAGCTCGCGTTCAGAGGCCGGGAGAAAGAACAGCTGCCAAATTAAGGGGAGTCCAAGGCCTTGCTCTTTTAGAGGGCGGGGCTAGGAGAACGTATTCCGACGCTGCCCGTCAACGAGCCAATCCCCGCCTCAAGGGGGAGGGGATTTAATCTGTCGCCGCTCCTTCCCTTTGGAAAGTAAATACGTTCGGGCGCCATTCAAACGGACCAATGAGTGATTGACGTTGTTGCGGTTGGCCCTCACCGATTGGCTGGAGTTTGTCGTCCCTCCCTCCTCGTCATCCCTCTGGCTCCACCCCTTTGCACACAAGATGGCGGCGCCCAGCGGAGTAGGGGCTGCGCTTGGGGTTTGCTGAAGCTGGTTGCCTCTCCCACTCCCCTTTTGGGTGCAAAGCGCCACTAACGGGAGGACGGGGGCCGGGCGGGGACAGGGGCACCTGCGTAGCTGGACTGCGAGCCCGCGCCCAGCTTGCGTCGACCCCACCCGGCCCCGGCCCGACCCGACCCGACCCGATCCGATCCAATCCGATCCCATTCCATCCGTTCCCCGTCTCCTCCCGGTCTGACCCATTGCCCGGCCGTGGTTCGCCACACCAGGCATCCAAAGCTGAGGTCGCTCCTACGGCCTGGGCTCGCCTTCGCTTTGGAGATGTTTGGGCTCTTCCCTCCCAAACAGCCCATCTTCAAAACCTGGACTCTTGGACTGGCACCTGGCCCCCTTTCCCTCTACCAAGACTCCTCTTCCCTCTTACCCACTTCTTCCTCAGATTCTTGGTACCCCCTGTGTTGGAGACCGCTCATTTTCCTTCCAAATTAATCCCAGACCCCCTAAAATATTGACAACCTTGACAACCCCACAACCGAGGAGCCAGACTTTCTTTTGGACTAACCTCCATAGCCCTATCATGGAGGCAGTGTACCTGGTAGTGAATGGGGTGGGCCTGGTGCTGGACGTGCTGACCTTGGTGTTGGACCTCAACTTCCTGCTGGTGTCTTCCCTCCTGGCTTCCCTGGCCTGGCTCCTGGCCTTCGTCTACAACCTGCCGCACACGGTACTGACTAGTCTTCTGCACTTGGGCCGCGGAGTCCTGCTTTCATTGCTGGCCTTGATCGAAGCCGTGGTCCGGTTCACATGTGGGGGCTTGCAGGCCTTGTGTACCCTGCTCTATAGCTGCTGCTCTGGCCTGGAGAGCCTAAAGCTCCTGGGGCACCTGGCCTCTCACGGGGCACTGCGGAGCAGGGAAATACTGCACCGGGGCGTCCTCAGTGTGGTCTCCAATGGCCATGCTTTGCTGCGCCAGGCCTGTGACATCTGTGCCATTGCCATGAGCCTGGTGGCTTATGTGATCAACAGCCTGGTCAACATCTGCCTCATCAGCACTCAGAACCTCTTTTCCCTGGTGCTGGCCCTGTGGGATACAGTGACCGGGCCTCTGTGGAGGATGACGGATGTAGTGGCTGCCTTCCTAGCCCACATTTCCAGCAGTGCTGTGGCCATGGCCATCCTCCTTTGGACACCCTGCCAACTAGCCCTGGAGCTGCTGGCCTCAGCTGCCCGCCTCCTGGCCAGCTTTGTGCTTGTCAATCTCACTGGCCTGGTGTTGCTAGCTTGCGTGCTGGCAGTGACGGTGACTGTGTTGCATCCGGACTTGACCCTGAGACTGGCTACCCAGGCACTCAGCCAGCTCCATGCCCGGCCATCCTACCACCGTCTTCGAGAGGATGTCATGCGGCTCTCTCGCCTAGCACTGGGCTCAGAGGCCTGGCGCCGAGTCTGGAGCCGCAGCCTGCAGCTGGCGAGTTGGCCGAACCGCGGAGGGGCACCTGGAGCCCCCCAGGGTGACCCTATGAGGATGTTCTCAGTTAGGACCCGGAGACAGGACACTTTTCCTGAAGCGGGGCGCAGATCAGAGGCAGAAGAGGAGGAGGCCAGGACCATCAGAGCGACACCTGCCAGGGGCCGAGAGAGGCTCAACGATGAGGAGCCTCCAGGCGGGCAAGACCCGTGGAAGTTGCTGAAGGAGCAAGAGGAGCGGAAGAAGTGTGTCATCTGCCAGGACCAGAGCAAGACGGTGTTGCTCCTGCCCTGCAGGCATCTGTGCCTGTGCCAGGCCTGCACTGAAATCTTGATGCGCCACCCCGTCTACCACCGCAACTGCCCGCTGTGCCGCCGGGGCATCCTGCAGACCCTCAATGTCTACCTCTGAAGACTCCTTCCCTACCTGCCCACCCCTCCACGCTCCACGCAGGCACTCACGCTAGGACAGCATTAACACCTCATCTCCGGGTCCTGGTCTGAATCCCTCCTACCCCTGTGGCTGTCCTGCCAAGCCTCCAAGCCATACATCCAGGACATTGAGATGGAAGACTATGATCTGGGTGGGGGCAGGATAACATAGCTTCTCCTTACCCAGTGGGTCCCTTCGATGCTGAGGGTGGTGAGTATGTCACTATGCAAGGGCCTTGAGACTGCTGTGGGCTCTCCTCCAGCTTGCCCAGGGCCCACCCAGCTGCCTCTGGGGTTACCCCTCTCTGCTTCTGGTTTTTCTGTTGGAGATCTGTAGGTCCTTTTCCTGCCTCCTTCACATTTCCTCCCCAGCTTTTGTGGCCACAACATATCAGTGTTATTTGGGTGTTTTGGCAACTCAGGGGCCTTCGGATGATCTTGAACCTTTGTGTTCAGCCAGAGCCCCTGTGCCCTGGTAGGCTTTGGGGTTAGTATCTCTCAGGTACCCTCAGAGCCACCTCTGCCTGTCATCGTCTGATGAGGCTCCCTCCCAACCTGATCCAAAAGCTGGGCTCACGAGTTTACCCCTGGGATGGGGGATGCATCTGCACCTGACTTTGGGACCATGTGCTCTCTGGCACCCCAGCTCACTGCAAGTCTCAGGAGGGATAACCAGATTTCTGCTCATTCCCCTTTCACTCCCACATCACACAGAAAAATGGCATTCCTCTCTGTCTCTCCCTGGCATTGGAGAGGGCAGACTGTGCACAGTTCACTAGGGTCCAAATACAGAAGGGGCCAGGGCCCAGGGGCTTGCAGCTTCCTGAGGGGTCTCTGGCCCAGTTTCCTATGAATAAAGTTATCTTGACAGCTCTGACAGTCTCTTGTGCGTCCCTGCAAGGGAGCAGTTGGTCAAGGCAACAGACCCTGCATCAGGGTCCTTCAGCCCTGCTGGAGTCAGAAGTGTGGGTTGTGGGAGTACCTGGGCTTTAACGGGGGAGACGGGGAAGGAGCTAAGATAGGCTGGGAAGACTGTGTCATGGGGAGAGAGCATGCCAGGCGTGGCTCTGTGAGCTGTCATCGCTTCTGATTTGTCCCCTTGCACACGTGGCTTTCGAAAAGCCTTCTGTATTTTTTCTATTTTTGCCCAAATTAAGCCCTTGTAGAGAGGAATGTGAACCATGTCACCGCTTGAGTCAGCCTTCCCAGCTCCTCCCCCGGCCAGTCTTCCTGGGAGGGAGCATGGGGTTCCTGCTGCCTGGAGTCCGGTCTTACCCTCGGATCCCAGGAGGAGCTGGTGTGTGTCCCTGTGTGTCTTAGCATGGGGTCTGGTGCAGGGCTGGGTTGGAGTGTGGCTGCGGGACCTCCTGATGGAGGCTGCCTGAGGCCTGTCTCTAGCTCACATTTGGGCTCAGTCCCCATTGGCCGTATCTGCCCTCACATGACCAGCGGAAGAGCAGGGGCACTCCCCCATAATTGTATGTTCTGTCTGGGACCACAGTGCCTGGGACTGCCTTCAGGAAGGGGGCGCCGGGAGCTCAGGAAGAACTCTGAGGAGAGGCCCCCCTTCCTTGGGTTGAGGCTGTGCAGATGGGGCTGGGCAGTCCTGGTTTGTTAGTCATTGGGTTGGAGGTGGGCCCCCGGGTGGGGGAGCCTTGAGGGGCTTTGTGGCTAGCCTCAGCCACAGTGGCTCGGCCCACCCAGGCTATGCCCAGAGCAGTGGGGGAGGGCTCCTCATCTCCACCTCAGAACTGGGAGGCTTAGGGAGGGCTTGGCACTTGCTCTTTCCTTCCCTCAATCCGGGACAGGGAGCTGAGCAAGGGGAGGCCCGGCTCCTTCCAGTCTCTGTTTAATGTGGGGATAAACATTTTATGATAGAAGATAAACTTCCTGAGTTGGGAGTAAAGGACTCCCCTTTTCTTCCATCTGCATCTGGAATTCCTTTGGCCGACCTCAATACCCCTCCTCCCCGTCACCACCCATAGTCAGGAGCTCAAGCTTCCCAGTATCCCTGCGGCGTTCTGGGGCCAGGGCACCCCCTTGTGGTCATCTCAGAAACTACTTATCTCTAGACGCCCAGGGAGGCCACTCACTCGGGTTACAGAGCAATAGCTTTCCAGTCATCTGGGGACCAGGCAAGCAGCGAGGGCAGTCATAGACGAAAGTCCTCGGCTCTTTTTTGTTGGATCAGGGCAGGGGCATGTGTGGTGCAGGCAGCCCCTATGTGGTTTAGTTGACATCTTTGAATTAGAAAAAGGTACCCCCTTTCTTAAGGGTGGCTGGAGCCCTACACCAGGAGGGCATCCTGCTGTCAGACACTCCTATTCACAACCTAGGTGGCGGCTCTGTGGAGCAGCCTCTCATTCCCCTGGGCCGGCTTCCTGTATATCTGTCCCATATCTCTATTTCATCCAAGAACCCTCCCTTCTGCCTGAGCACCCCCTCCACACCGTGATCCCAGAAACAGAACCCCCACCACTAAAGAAGAAAGGCTGGAGCCAGTAGGAGTGTTCTTCGATTTATTGAGTGATCTCAGTAAAGGGCCGGCCCCATGCGCAGGAGGGGGTGAGGAGGATCCAGAGAAGCAGAGGACCAGGAAGAGAGCACCCCACCATGGGCTCCTGGGCCAGAGCAACTGGGGGACTCACACTTGCCAGCACAGCACACTCCTCTGGTCTTGGGCAGAAATCCAGTCACTGCCCCATGCTGCCATACCTGATTGCAGACAGCCACTGTCCCCATTCCTTGCCAGCGGCAGGACGGAGAGGCCCCTACCCCACCTCCCTAGTCATTCACAATATTCCAGGGGGGCCAGCCCTCCTGGATGACCTGGTTGTCAGCGTCACAGCGTGAGCCCACTTTGCAGTGGCATTAAGCGAAGACTGGGGAGCTGTGCCAGTCAGAGTACACCAGAAATCCGGAGAAGGTGCTGTCTGTCTTGATGCTGGCATAGATGCCAATGTAGTCACCCACACCCACCTGCACCCACACTTGGTCCTCGGGCTCCAGCCTCACCATGGCGCCCCCGGAGAGCGAGGCTGGCTTGGGCCAACCCCCGAAAAACTGGAAGAAAGAGGCAATGGATTCGCCGTTCTTCACCAGATCAAACTGCAGGCTGGCCCGGTAGACAGTGGCATGGACGGCGAAGTAGTAGACCCCAGGCACCTGGCAGGTGAACTTGCCGGTGACGGCGTCGTAATGTCCCTGCTCGTTCACCAGCACGCGGTCGAAGGGCAGGGGAGCATCAGACGGCGGAGGCAGCCGGCTCTCGGAGCGCTTGGCGCTGAAGGCGGATCGCGGAGGCACCGAGCACTCGCCTGCAGGCCCGGTGGGCCCCGCGGGTCCCGCCTCTCCTCGCGGCCCGGGCTCCCCTCGAGGTCCCGGCAGCCCTGCGGGGTAAGCGGGGCGGCAGGTTGAGCGTAGCGGCCGGGTCACCCGCAACGGGGCGGCGACTCTAAGGTCACCGTACCCCTCCCCGCCCCTGCCTGAGCTTCGGCCAGCGCCTCCTCCCGCACGGGTACCTCCTCCACCCATTCCCGCAGGGCAGATCTAGGGGGCTGGCCAAGGGGGCGCCCGCCGCCTGGGCCCTTCCTCCTCTCTGGGCTGCAAAGCTCAGGGAGTGGCGCCCCCTGGCGGGAGCCCCGAGCCCCGGGCACTGGGAGTGGGAGCTGCGGCGGAGCCTGCTCGGACGTCGCCACCTACAGCTGCTGCGGTGCCTTCTTACCCGGCCTCCCGCCCTCGCCTTTCTCTCCCGGAGCCCCGGGCGCGCCGTCGCGGCCGTCGCGGCCATCGCGGCCCGGCAAGCCCTGGCTGCCGTGGTGGCCCGGCGTGCCTGGAAGGCCGGGGTGCCCCGGGCACAGGCTGGGGATCTTGTTGTCGTCCAGTGGGGGCGAGCCGGCCGCCAGGCCCAGGAGCAGCAGGACAAGGAGCGGCCTCATAGCGCTGGCACCGGGAGCCCGAACGCCGGGGTCCTCTCGCAGTCTGTGGGCCAGGCAGGACTGGAGTCGGGACCCAGAATCCTGGGACCTACCTCGATCCCCACCCCGGCGCGGCCCAGTCGGTCCCCACCCCACTGCTGTGCCCCTGAGGCTGAGCGCCCACAGGGCCGAACACCCGGAGAGCACAGGCAGGCGAGAGCGGGTAGGAGCGGCCAGCCCTCCCTCCCACCGCCGGCCCGCGCCAGCCTTTCCCACAGTCCCCTCCCCAGCCCCTTTCCCCTCCTCCGCCAGACTCACCCCCCTTCCCGGCTCCCTGATGGCCTCCTTCGGGGCGCTCGCTACTCCGGACCCTCCAGTCGGTGGTGCTCCAGCCCCCGCGCCTCTCCCCGGCGAGGCGCCCCCTGCCCTGCCGTCACCCTAGTCCTGGTTCGCTGCCTGCCGGCTCCGCTCTTCTCCTCCCAGACTCCAAGAGGAAACCAGTTGTTCGGGGGCCAAGAGCTCCCGGACCGGGAAATAGCTGGGAAATAACTCGTGGTGTCGCCCGGCGGCCGGCCAAAGTTTAGGGGGAGAAAGGAGGGGTAGAAAGACTTGAGCTGGGCACAGAGAGGCAGAGCTTCGAGAGACGGACACACAGGGCACCTCCTGTTCCCAGGGCCGGAGGAGAGGCGGGGCAGTGGCAGAGACCAAGGACCAGACCCCATTTCAGGGAGAAATACGTAGGGAGATGAGGGTGGAGAGTTCTAGAGGCAGACAGCCAGTTGGATCCCTAAGGCCTAGGACAGGGCCTGCCACATGAGTAGATGCTCAGTACATTTCTGTTGAATCAAGGAAAAGGTCAGAAGGCAGGCGATAGAGAAGCTGAAAAAGCAGATGGAAAGGGGAAGAGGCAGAAGGCGGGAAGTCTGGGTCAGAGGCCTGGATGGGAAGCGGTCTCGATTGTCCAGTGGCACAGTGTGGGGCCAGTCAGCAGCCTGGGGCCAGTAAGGGGACAGGAAGGTGCAGGGAGGGTCCCATGAGCCCCAGCTGAGGACTTCTCCTCCCCCTCCCTGGGAGCCCCAGAGAAGATAGTTAGAGACCCTGCTGGTGCCCCTTCCTTTTTCCCCTGTGTGCCAGTCCTGATGGGCAAAAGAGGATGGGCAGAAAGAGGGCAGGGGCTGGCTTCAGGGTCAGGGCTGGGAGCAAGCTTCCAGACCAGCTGCCTCTGGCAGTCTGTTGCAGTTGAAGGGCCAGGGGGTGCCCAGTAGTGCCAGGCCAGACTGGCACTGGTGCTCTGCTTCCTGGCAGACAGAGCGGCAAGGGGGCAGAACACTGCCTAGTGGGGTGCAACGGGGCACAAGCAGCCCACACAGGAGCCTCCGGAAATTCTGGTAGCAGGGCAGGCTTGTCAGGCTCTGCGGAGGGACAGCAGCCTTTAGGCACCTGCTCCCAGGCTCCCTCCCCTCCCAGGCCTGCCCTCCTTCCCTCCACCCAGAAGACCTTGTAACCGCTGAGGACTTCTACCACCTCCTCCTGAGTGGCCATGCCCACCCAGATGTTAGGGAAGGCCGTGGTGTTGTAGCTCAGACCGAGGCACATCTCCACCTGGACAGGCTCACAGGCCAGCTCTGCAGGGGTGGAGGGGAAGGCCACTGTGGGGACTGCTCACTGGCTGTGTGGCCTGTGGCAAGTCACCGAATCACTTGGTCCTGTGTGTACGTGGGTCCAATGGGGGTGGTTGTGAGGAAGCAAGAGGATAACAAGGAGGGAGGCTGTACACACACTGAGGATCCCTGCCATCCCTGAGAGCCTGCTCCAGCATCAGTTGCCAGCCCTGGGCATCACGCAGGCACGTCTTTGATCTCAGGGAACATGGGGCACCTGCGTTTGCAGGGACCGCTTGGGCATCTGGAAGAAACCCCCTGCACTGTGTAAGAGGATGCCTTCATCTTACATGGGCTGTGGAAAGGGGCTCTGGGTGACAGAAGGGACTGGTTCTTGGAGTCCCACCACTGATTCCCAGATTCCCATTTCCCTTGGGGTGACACTCAGTGCCATTGCCACCACCAGCCGAGTGTCTTCCAGGACTCTGCGAAGTGGTCCCAGAGTCAGCTGGCCCCGCCCCCTCAGGGAGGATGGGATGGGATGGGACGCTATTCAGTACAGCAGCAGGGTTCTGTGAGGTGAGCACCCAGCCTATTCAGGGTCCCCAGGGGCAGGCTTCTCACCTGGGGGTGGGAACAAGGGGCGGCTGCAGTTGTCATCGCTGCCATCGGTGCAGTCTCTCCACATGTCACACATCCACTGCACACCCTTACACCCTCCTGCCTGGCAGGAGAGCTCACTGGGCCCACAGGGGTCTGCAGGCACAAGGGGCATGGCAGTGCCCGGGGACATACCTACAATCCCAGTACCCCCAGAGTGTCTTGACCAGGGTCCAGAACCCTTCTCTGTCCCCCTGGAGGTGCCTCTACTGCCCACACCCACTTGCCCAGGGGCACCTACTCTCCGTGGCATTGAAGGCCAGGTAGGTGGCTGAGAAGCCTCCACTGCTGATGCCATGATCTGTCCTAAAAAGCACAGCCAGCTCATGGTGTGAGGAGACGAGGTTGGGGGGTGGCTCTGCTCCACAGAACCTGCCCAAAGCAGATAGCAGTTCTGGGCACCAGCCCTGGCTGACTGAGGGGGCACTGCAGCCTCCCACAGGCCTGGCTCTGAGCTGGAGCCCTGGATGATGCCAAAGTTGATGGGAGACACAGGGTTAGGGTCTGGTGAGGAAGACACACATATTCAGCAGACAAAGCATTAAACAAACTGCTTGAACTTGAGCCACTTCGAGATGGGGAAAAATCAGCGGGGCAGCCTGGCGTTGTGGCTCACACCTGTCATCCTAGCATTTTGGGAAGCCAAGTCGGGAGGATCACTTGAGCCCAGGAGTTTGAAACCAGCCTGGGCGATATAGTAAGACCTTGTCTTTACAAAAAAAATTAAAAAAATAAATTATCTGGGCATGGTGGCATGTGCCTGTGGTCCCAGCTACTTGGGAGGCTGAGGTGGAAGGAGCGCTTGAACCTGGGAGGTCAAGGCAGCAGTGAGCCGTGATAGTGTTACTGCACTCCTGCCTGGGTGACAAAGTGAGATTCTGCCTCAAAAAAAGAAGAACAAGAAAAATCAATGAGGGTTTGTAAGGGAGGTGGGGGTGGCCCCTGCCGGTGGGGAGAAACTGGGGCAGGGAGAGGTTTGGGGAAGGACCTCCTGGGGACAGGGAGAGTGTGGGGTGAAGGTTTTGAGGTGAGAGCTGTCTTTAGGGTAATGGTGAAGAGACCCCCGGCCTAGAGTAGCAGAAGAAAGTGAAGCTGGGGAATGTGCTGGGCCGACACGGAAGGCGGGGGTGGCAGACTGTGAGGATGGAGTTATCCGTGGCTCTTCCCTGGCTCCTGTACCTGCCCAGGAGGCTGAAGGCCCCTGAGCTGCTGGTCTCATACACCTCCACGTAGTCAAACTTGCACTCATCCTGAGCCTCCAGGCTGAAGTTGTGGAACTGCAGTTCTATGCTGTGTCCAGCCGGCACCGAGATATGCCAGGTGCAGAGCTGGGGGAGGGCACAGGTGGGCAATTCATGACCCCTTCTGTCTCATCCTGGGCACCCAGGCTGAGCTCCAGAAGGGTCTTCTTCCCCCACTGCTGGCTGGGGGGTGGGGTCGCGCTTTCATCATTGGTGGCTCTTAAGGGCCTGGTTTCAGAGGTGAGTTGACCCAGTGTGGGCACATCTGGGTACACATTAGGCACTTACTAATATCCCCCATCCCCCGTCTGCTTGATCTGTGACCTTCCCGAGTAGAAGGTAGTGTCTATCATGCCGTTCCCATTACACTGACTTGGGTGCTCAGGTGCTTCCTTGTGTGCCCCTCCCCCTCTGCATGGAGCACCGTGCTTACCTGTTGGTGAGGGTACTGCTGCAGGTAGTTGGGAGTAGAGAAAGTGCCCTGGAGCCCAGTCAGATTCCCCCCACACCCTGTAGAGAGATGAAAGGGCTCATGAGTTTGCTAGGATCCGTGCTTCCATCCAATAGTGATTGTGGGCAGTGACTGCAGAGCAAGAGTTTTGGCCATGCCCATGGGAAGCAAGTTCTGGGCCAAAGAATGACAAAGGAGGAAATGCTGGCGGAGGCCCTGGTTTGAGGCTGGACCAGAGCTGGGGGGCCCAATTTGAACCCAGATCAGATGCCTGAAGAGAGGACCCCCCATGCCTGGCCCGTACCCGAGAACTTGGCACTGCAGTTGGTCTCATCGCTGCCGTCAGCGCAGTTGGCAAAGCCATCACACACTGAGTCAGGTAGCAGACAGATGAGCTGGTCACAGCGGAACTCATCATGGGCACAGCTCCCTGGGTGTGGGCACCAGGAGTCAGGGAGGCCCCGAGTCTCCACCCCTTTGGCAGGGCTGGGAGTGGGTGGAGGGGAAGAAAGTGGACACTCAACAGGCAGCTGGGGACACGGTGGGAACACACTCACCATGCCCAGGGGCCACAGCCTGGTACCAGGCATGGAAACCAAATCCTTCCACACTGCTGTCAGAGACGAAGGCCACCAGGAGGTGGCTGGCATTGGTGTTGAGCGTGGGGGGAGGCACCCTCCCACAAATCCTGCAAGAAGCCGGGTTGGGGGTGATGGAGGCTCCAGGAGCAGGGCCAGCCAGAGAGGAGCTTGCCTGGGCCTTGCAGTCCTATTTTCTTAACCCCCAAACTGGTCACCATGTGGTCAAAAAGTCTCCTCTGATGTCCCAGGGAGCTCTGACCTTCTTAGCATCTGCACATTTATCCTTGTAGCATTTACTCATAGGAAGATAGAAAGGAGATCCATGTTACAGACTAGGAAACAGGTCAGAGAGGGGAAGTGATCTTCCTCACGGCACACAGCAAGGTGGTGGCAGAGCTGGGCCCAGAGGTCTAGTCTCTCAGTTTCTTCCTCGGTTAGCCCTTCCCCCTGCCACTCCCTGATTCTGCTCTTTAGATAGTGGTTCAGGACACGGTGGGATGTCCTGGGGACAGAGGGACCTACCTGAGGAGGGAGCCTTCAGGCTCAGGGGAGATTTCCAAGCGATCAAAAAGGCAAGAGGCCACACTCTCTATGCTGAGGGCTTCGATTTTGAGCTGTATTGCATGGTCTGTGGCCACCTGGATGCGCCACATGCAGTGGGTGTTGGGGGGGTAAGGGTCTGGGTAGTTGGGACTGCTGAAGAAGCCCCTTGGGCCAGAGAGGAGGCCTCCACAGGCTGCGGAGATGGAGGTCAGAGTTCAGAGGTCAAAACGAGTGAGGTCCTTTACTCTCCAAGGTGCCTCTTCCTCACCCTCCCCTCGCCCCCACCCCATCATCTTGGGCCCTTCTCCGGGAAGACCTGCCCTGAGTACTCACTGGCCTGTGGGGAGGGGCTCACACCTGACTCCTGCTGCCCTTTAGGGGTCCCAGCTGCCTGAGAGGTGGTGATGGTGGGGGGGGTGGTGGTGGTGGTGGTAAGGCCTCCGGCAGGCAGTGGGCTATGGGAGGCCCCAGGTGGGGCTGCAGCCTGCAGCTCTGGAGGCGGGAAGATGGAGGGTGGCGTTCAGAGGAGCTGGATCCTGGGAGGCTGGGAGAGCGGCTGATGGAATTTCATTCCAAAGCCCTCCTTTCAAGTTGTCCCCAGGTACTTACGGGCCAGGATGATGGCCACCAGCAGCCCGAGCAGCAGGAGCAGCAGGCTGGCGAGCAGGAGGACACAGAGCCAGGAGAAACGGCAGTCTGGCCGCAGCCCTCGAGGACGCCGACCTGCGAACCGGCAGGTGGGGTTTTGAGAGCCCCTTCTGTTGGGCATTTGTCATGCTGCCCTTGGCTCCTGGGCCTCTCTGTCCTCCCCCAGGTCACCCCCTGGGATGGTTACCGTGCCAGGGAGCTGGGACACTATAGCTGGCATCCTCTGGGAAAGCTGGGGGAGGGCAGGATGGCCCAGACTCAGGCTCGAAGGCAGGATTGCAGAACTCGGTCTGGAAGGGAGAGACTTGAGGGCTGAGGCAGTGGTGACCACTGGGGTGCTGGGTCTTAGGAGCACGATTCTATGTGGCCCTTACCTTGCTCGATTCTGTTGCCTCCACGCAGAGGATGACATCTGAGTAGTCCTTCATGGCCCAAGGCTCTGCATGGCTTTCTGGAGTCCCTGTGACAGCCCAAGACCCCCAAGGGCCCACTCTCTGACCACAAACTCCCTATCAAAGGGGCAGCCTCTACTACCCAAGGGAAAAGGTTGCCAGGCTAGACCAGCTCTTGGGCTGTCCTTGGTAGAGTGGTTTGGCCTATGGGCTACTCTGTCTCTGTGTGAGGGAAGGGATGGCAGCCAGGAAGAATTCACAAAGGCACGAAATGGTCCCTTAATCCCACTCAGCTGAGGATGCCGAGGCCAAGTCCCTGGCACAGGGTGGCCGTTCTTAAAGGCACAGGCGGTGGCTGAGAACACCCAGCAGAGGAAACTAGGTGCTCTGTGCGGGGGTGTGACGAGGGGAGCTCTCCATCCCCAGCACCCAAGGCACTAAGTGAGCACTTGGGGGGTCGCTGGAAGAGAAGTTGCAGGCAGAAGGGAACCTTGGGTGGTCTGAGAAAGCAGCAGGGTGGAGGGGGTGGACAAAGCCAGCTGCCCACCTTTCCTCACCACCAGGGTTACAGGGGCACTGGCCAGGTCGGGTCTTTGGAAGGGCCCTGGTAGATCACCAGTGGGTGTGACCAGGAAAAGGAGAGAAGGACATGGCGTGAGCCAGGGACTGACTGCTCATTCTTGGGACCCCTAAACCCACAGGAGAAAGGACAGGGAAGGGGGAGAAGGTGCCCAGGTCTTAGGGAGGGTTGGGGTGTGGAGTCTAGCCATCGGGGCTGTTGCATGGTAGGAAACCCACACACTGCAAACAAGATTACTGCACGCCTCTTTCTCCATGGGCGAAGTCCTCTTGGAAAATCCCAGCCTAGCCCTGCTGTCCTCAGGGAGAAAGGAAAGGGATTGGTAATCTGTTTTGTGTTAGCCATGCTTGGGCCGAGAGTTTGGCAGGGAGGGAAGTGGGGAGAGAGCCTCATATTTCTGGCTACTATTTGTAGAATGTCTGGGCAAGAGGGCTACATGCAGTTTCTCTCCTTTCATAACTATAAGGTAGTGTCACCATTTTACAAATGCTGGTGCTGGGCTCTGAGAGGTTACATCACTTTCCCAAGGTCACACAGCTGGTAAGATACAGAGATGAGAGTTGAGCCTAGGACTGGATAGAGCTTAGGTTCACGTTTTCTATGATGTACCTCTTTCACCCCACATTGGGGCTGAGGCATGCTGGGGTAGCAGAGGGATCAGAGTGACACGGGGGCAGAGTGAGGAACCCCTTGGGGATGGAAGCAAAGAGGGCAGGCTGCCCTCCTTGCACTCAGTAAAGGAGATGCCTCCACCCACACGTTTTTCTCCATTTGTTACTGGAGGGCCTTAGTTTGCTTTTGTCTAGGAGGTCAAGCTGTTTCCTGGAACCTTGGAAGTCTAATGGTACTTGGTCTTTAGGGAAGAGACTTTTTGGGAGCTGTAGGGACAGGTGCTCTTGGAGAGGATCAGACAGTTCCTGACCACAAAGTACTTCTCATTCTGGCTGGATCAAGACAGGATCCCCTGTCACACAGTATGTGAAGAGCCTCGCCACAGGGGCAGCTTCATGGACACAGTGGCCCTGCGCTGAGCTTTGAGGATGATTGGCTGGGCGAGCCATGCCCCTGGGTCTGCTCCTCCGAAGCCGCTCTTTCGCTGTCATCATTGAGAGAGAGGCTGCTGTGCCGGGGTTTGGCTGGGCACTGGGCTCTTGGAGCTGACTGAGACAAGGTGCCCTCGTCTCAAGGAGCCCCTGCTCTGCTGTGACAGCTCTCAAAGTGGGGCCCGGGGCCTTCTTTTAGAGGGCTTGAGAGCTTAGAACTAGGCTTATAATAACACTAAGACATGATATGCCTTTTTCACACTCATTCATGTTTTCCAGACGCTCCGTGACATGTGATATGACATCGGGTTGAATGCTGAAGGAGACACAAGTCCAGCTGCCTTCTATTAAGCCAGATGCTAAAGAGATTTGCACAAATGTAAAACGATGCTGCCATTCTTACTAATTTTTTTTTTTTTTGAGACGGAGTTTTGCTCTGTTGCCCAGGCTGGAGTGCAATGGTGAGATCTCAGCTCACTGCAACCTCTGCCTCCTGAGTTCAAGTGATTCTCCCATCTCAGCCTCCTGAGTAGCTGGGATTACAGGTGTGCACCACCAAGCCCAGCTAATTTTGTATTTTTAGTAGAGACAGGGTTTCTCCATGTTGGTCAGGCTGGTCTCATACTCCTGACCTCAGGTGATCCGCCTGCCCAGCCTTCCAAAGTGCCAGGATTACAGGCATGAGCCACTGCGCCTGGCCCATTCTTACTAATTTTTTTTTTGTTTGTTTCAGAAAATATAGGTGGTTGTTTAAAAAAATTATTATTATTATTATTTTTTAGTTATACTTTTAGTAGAGACAGGGTCTCACTATGTTGCCCATGCTGGTCTCAAACTCCTGGACTCAAGTAATCCTCCTATCTCAGCCTCCCAAAGTGCTGGGATTATATGGTTTTTAAAAAAATTATTGGCCGGGCACGGTGGCTCACGCCTGTAATCCCAGCACTTTGGGAGGCCAAGGCGAGTGGATCACGAGGTCAGGAGATTGAGACCATCCTGGCTAACATGGTGAAACCCCATCATCTCTACTAAAAATACAAAAAAGTTAGCCGGGCGTGGTGGCGGACGCCTGTAGTCCCAGCTACTTTGGAGGCTGAGGCAGGAGAATGGTGTGAACCCAGGAGGCGGAGCTTGCAGTGAGCCGAGATCCTGCCACTGTACTCCGGCCTGGGTGACAGAGCAAGACTCTGTCTCAAAAAAAAAAAAAAAAAAAAAAGAAAAGAAAAAAGAATGTAAGGGGGTTGGCCGGGTGCGGTGGCTCACGCCTGTAATCCCAGCACTTTGGGAGGCTGAGGTGGGTGGATCACCTGAGGTCAGAAGTTCAAGACCAGCTTGGCCAACATAGTGAAAGCCCATCTCTACTAAAAATACAAAAATTAGCCGGGTGTGGTGGTGAACGCCTGTATTCCTGGCTACTTAAGAGGCTCAGACAGAAGAATAGATTCTGTCTCAAAAAAAAAAAAAAAAAAGAAAGAATGTAAGGGAGTCTTTTGGGAAGTGTGGTTCACTGGACAGAGATGAAGAGAGTTTACTGGGCCGTAAGTCCGGAGATTAAATGCTGTGTAAACTGAAGAAGCAATGGCTTCCTCTGATGGGGCCAGCAGGAGGACTTCCTGGAAGAGATGAGCCTTTAAAGTTTGAGGGTTGAAAAGGATTTGAATAGGCAGAACTTGGGGGTTGGGTAGGGAATTCCAGGAAGGAGAGGCTTAGCACTGCGGCCTGAGGAACTTGGTCACAACTGGCCTGTGAGTGGGGGGACAACAGAAGGGAGGCCAAGGGAAGGCCTGGAAGACCAGGAAGTTTTTCTCTGCTTTGCTGTTGCCCACGGCCATCCTGGACTACACCCAGGACTCTGCGGGCACACGCACTCCTGCACCTGGCTGCGTTATGAAGGGGTTTCTGGAGGAAAGGAAGGAAGCCAGAGGCCAGCTCAGGGTTGGGGAGTGGCACACCTGAAACACACTGAGAGTGAAATCCACTGCAGACCCCTCAGCTCATCGCCTCATTTCACCCTTATTCCAGCCCCGACAACAAGAGGAGGGAGGTGTTTTCCTCTCATTTTCTGGATGTCACCGAGGCTCCTGGAAGTTAAATGCCTTTGCCCAGAGTTGTACAGCTGCCCAGGGGCAGGGCTGGGTTGCAGAGCTGGGGCTGTTGGAGTCCTGGTTTCCACTTTTTTTGTTTTTGCTTTTTGAGACAGGGTCTTGCTGTGTCACACAGGTTGGAGTGTGATCACAACTCACAGCGGCCTCCACCTCCCAGGCTCAAGCAATCCTCCTACCTAAGCCTCCCAAGTAGCTAAGACTACATGTGTGCACCACCATGCTTGACTCACTTTGTAGAGAAGGGGGCCCCCTATGTTGCCAGGTCTTGAATTCCTGGGCTCAAACAATTCTCCTGCCAAAGTGCTGGCATTATAGGCTTCCCTGGTCTTTAGAAGCGTGGGACCTAGGAGCTCAATCCCATTACTACCTCCAAGAGGCAGATGTCCCCAAATATCGGGAAATTGGAAAAGCCAATTCCTTGATTTTGGAATGCCTATTTAATGGGCATTCTGTTTAGTTTGGGCAGTGCCATACTTACCTACATCAAGTGTATTGTTCCGGAAAAGAAGGTAGAAGCATCCAGAGACATGAGAGGAACTAAATACTTGCTAAATAGGGACAGTGTTGGTTAAAAAAAAAATTTGCTGAGGATCACCCACCATGAGAATCTCAATGGAGCTTCGATGGCGTAGTCCTGGAAATGGAAGTGGGGGAAATGGACATTTGTGAAGTTGCTGAGTACCTACTATGTGCCAGACACCCACCCATCCCCTTCCCTCCCTTCCCCCCCTCTCTCCTCCCCTCTTTCCTTTTTCCCTTTCCTTTCCTCTCTCCCCACTTCCTTCAGGGTGTGTGTGTGTGTGACAGGGTCTTGTTCTGTCGCTTAGGCTAGAGTGCACTGGTGTGACCATGGTTCACTGCAGCCTCAACCTCCTGGTCAATTGATCCTTCCACCTCAGCCTCCCAAGTGGCTGGTACTATGCCTGGCTAATTTTTGTACTTTTTGTAGTGACGGGGTTTCACCATGTTACCCAGGCCGGTTTCAAACTCCTGGGTGAAAGTTATCTGCCCATCCTGGCCTCCCAAAATGTTGGAATTACAGGCATGAGCCACCGTGCCTGGCCAGACACTGTTTTTCTTAACTGGCACTCACAACTCTGAATAGGTAATGTTATGCTCAGATTACAGATGAGGAAATTGAGGCTCAGAGAGATTAAGTAACTTACTTGGGCTGTGAATGCCAGTCTCTTTCTGCTGCCTCCTGCATTCCTGCACAGGTGCTTGTTTCTGCTCTTACAGCAATGAAGGATGGGGACCCTCAGAGGTGTCCAGCTCAGACAGTCCTACTAGGGCCCAGGTAGGAGGCAGATCATGCTGGTTTTGCTGTTGGATGTGTGTGAATGTCACACTGCTGTTTGGCTCAGCTCCTAATAGACGCAGGCTTGGAAAACTTGCTGCAGAAAGTCCTGCAAAATGCTGTCAATTATTCAAACTAAAGGCAGAGTACTCAGATGGAAAGAGAACTGGACAGGCAGTCAAGATACCCAGGTTCCATCCTGTCTCTGCTCCTGACATGCTATGTGGCCTTGAGCAAGCCTTACTCTAGGGCTCAGTATCCTCACTGCCAAATCGAGATCATGGACAAGGTGACCTCTATGATCTAACTCTAAAGCTTTATAGAGGCCGGGCATGGTGGCTTACGTCTGTAATCCCAGCAGTTTGGGAGGTCAAGGTGGGCGGATCACCTGAGGTCAGGAGTTCGAGACCAGCCTGGCCAACATGGCGAAACCCCATCTCTACTAAAAATACAAAATTAGTCGGGCATGGTGGTGCATGCCTGTAATCCCAGCTACTCGGGAGGCTGAGGCAGGAGAATCGCTTGAACCGTATACTCAAGTATTTAGAAGTGGTGATATAACACCTCACCTGTAAATGTTTCGGCAGAGAGAATAAAGTACAGTTGACCTTTGAGCAATGTAGGAAAGTATATATATATATATATACACACACACACACACATATATATATACACACACACACACATATATATACGACTTTACAGAAAGAAACAAGCATTCTGAGCATTGGTCACTTAAATAAATTCTGTAAACTGGAACCAGGGAACTAGAGCTAAGTTCCCTATCTTGGGACTTGAGCATGTATTTAGAGAAAAGTGACATAGAATGATTGATAACACGGGAGTGGAGAACTTCAAGACCCACAAGTCCCATCTCAGTAATTTGCAGATGAGGCACAGAGGCCCAGAAAGAGGGAGGTTCCTGTTCAAGGTCACACAAGAGCAGTCGAAGGGGAAGCCCCTCCCCTAGGGAGAGGCCAGCTGGATCAAGAGCAAACAATGAGGGAAGAGAGCCAAGTTGCTAGGAGGCAAAGCTTGATGGACAAAAAAACGTGGGGACAGACCTATGTGTGTTTGTGGTCTGTGTAACACTAGGACCTGTTGCCATGGGGATGAGAAAGCACTACAGATTAATTACTGAAGAGCTGGGAGCAAGGGTGGCGGGCCTGAGTGGAGCCCCTGCCCTCAATGTCACCTAGAGTCCATCTGTTCCCCAGTGGAAGACAACAAAAATTATAGGGCTGCTTCTACCTCCAGTGAAGAACTAGTCAGAGTATAGCTATTCACTTTGCTACAAGCCTAATGTTTTTATTTTGAGGGGATCCTGTTTGCCTGTGGCTTGGGGGCAATCATCAGGTTAAGATTTCCAATCACACCCTGGATCAGGCCACCCTCAGGGCAGGCCAGGGAAGTTTGGGTCCCTCAGGAAGAAATTCCAAGTTTTAAGTCACTTATTTTCAATCCCTCTTCTTCACTCTTGGGAAATGCTTAGAAAAATGCCTGTCTCCCTCCATGCGGCGGGTTTGATAGCAGCACACAGGCCTTAAGTGACAGCAGGTGCTTCTGTCTCAGCAAGGATGGAATAGTCAGGCCTTTATTTTTTAGTGTCTGGAGCAGTGGAGGCAGTGAGGAAGAATCCTCATGAAACACTCTAGGCTCACCTGGTGGAGCCTTCGGCTTCCCTACTTCTAAGACCAGCAGCAGAAATGGAAAAACTGAACAGTGCTAATGAAGAGGTGAGACCAAAGGAGACATGGGTCACCGAGTGCACCAAAGACATCACCTCTTTAGGGGTTAAATCTGAAGTCTTGAGAAAAAGCACTTTAGGGAACAAATCCTATAACATAAAGGTAACTGTTTCTAAGTATTAGGGGGGAAAGCTGAGCTCTTTGATCAAAGACTAAGCCCTGGCTGGATGCAGTGGCTCACGCCTGTAATCCCAGCATTTTGGGAGGCCAAGACAGGCAGATCACCTGAGGTCAGGAGTTCGAGACCAGCCTGACCAACATGGAGAAACCCTGTCTCTACTAAAAATACAAAATTAGC